GTTTATTGAACTGTCTGTCTGTCTATCTGTCTGCCTGTCTGCCTGTCTCTGTGTCTGTCTGCCTGTCTCTGTGTCTGTCTGTCTGTCTCTGTGTTTCTGTCTGTCTGTCGTCTCCTGGGAGACTCTCTGGTTGTCAGCCACGGTGCGTTCAGGGTCCTCAGGACAAAGGGAGCGAGCTGCTGAGTCGTGCTGATAAAATGCAGCACAGCTCTTCTGTTGTTGGAGCGGAGCCTCTGAGCCCGAACATGATGCCAGGGAGACAGCAGGTCTTTGTCCTCACCATGTTTTTAATCCAAGTCTCGGTCCTGGTCTTGATCCAGGTCTCCAGTTACTCACTGGGGGGGCAGGATCAGAACGTCACGGCTCAGAACACACCACTAAAACCCTGATTGATATTTCATCTGTCACACAGAGAGGGGGGCAGTCAGAGGGACCAAATGAGACAGAAAGAACGCCTTCAGAGTGAAGTCTTTAAATGTTTCAGTTTAGAGGGATAGAATCAAACCTTCATTCACTCAGTTTTCTCTTTTTCTTTAAATATCTGATCATCACATTTTTCACTTTATTGATCCCTCTTCATACTGTCTTAGTTGTGAAGTTTCTGAAGCTTTCAAACAGCAGACAGGAAGCTGTATGTTAGACTGAGAGCACCTCCACCCACTGATTCTGTCGTATTTATAAAATTGCACGTACGCCTGATTGTGTTTATAAATCTCAGTCATTGTGAAGAGTTTCTTTTCCACAATCATCCATATGTGGACGTAGAACACTCTTAAACTGATCTGTATGAATACTACTCCACTGATCATTTATCAATGAAAGGAACAAGGTTCTCCAACAGAATCAGAACAGCTGTGTCTGTTTATAGAACCCATACCGTTAACTTCTCGTCTTCTGACGTCTTTTTATTCACTTATTTATTTTATGTATATGTAGAAATATATAGCGCATCGCTCACTGTTAGTTTGGGGTCGGACTTTTTTTTTTTTTTTTTCTAATGTTAGGTTTGTGCTTATAAAAATGAAAAACCAATATAAAGAGTATTAAAAAAAGAAAAGAACAGAACAGCTGTGTCTGTTTATAGAACCCATACCGCTAACTCATCACATGTACCTGCAAAACCATCATCACAGTGGTATTTCAATTAATATTATTAACATCAAAAGGATGATCAATGATAAACAATGTTGGGCGTAACTCATTACTAGTAATAATGGTACAGTAAGAATATTATTTTCTGCAGTAACTAGCAGTGTAACTAATTACTGTTAGCAGGGAGCAATAAGTAATCATTACTGTCGAAAAGAGTAGCTCAACACTAAAGATGAAGCTCAAATTGAAACAGACTTTATGAAGAGCTTCACAGTTCAGGATCAAATAAAAGATCATCTGAGTAACATTTTACAGAACATACATCTCTAGTGATATCTCACGTCCACCTCATGTCACAACCTCAGACACAATGCTGGTGGACTCAAATGCATGACTTAGGGACTGATGAAGATGTACAAAAAACAATCCAACAAAAAGCTCTCAAGGCGGGTACAAAACGAAGAAACAAAAGGCGCTCGCAAAGAGGATGTATAAAAATACACTGGACCGCCGTCAATAATCCAGGGGGACACTGGGACAAACAAACGGTTACTTGGACACCCACTAGGTGCTGGGCTCACAACATTTGCCTGCTTCAGATCTGATTATATCTGCCATGACACAACCACACGGTTCAGTGGAAGGATTGGCTCGGGTTCTTTGGCAATAGTTTCAGGGTCATAAAGGCAGGACAGAGCATCTAGTTTAGTGTTTTGTGAGCCTGGTCGAAAGGATAGCGTGAAGTTGAACCTGTTAAAGAACAGGGTCCAGCTAGCCTGACATGAATTCATTCTCTTGGCTTTCCTGATATATTCGAGGTTCTTATGGTCTGTCCACCCCCTCCAACCAGTACCTCCATTCTTCAAGTGCTGCCTTGACTGCTAAACAGTCCAGTTCCCTACATCCCTACATCATAGTTTCTTTCCGCAGGGGTCAACTTACGTTAAAGATAGGCACAGGGGTGCATCCTGTTGTCCTTGGCAGACCTCTGGGACAACACGGCCCCAATGCCCTCATTGGATGCATCAACCTCAACCACAAACTGCCGTTGGGGGTCAGGAACAGCAAGTACCGATGCTGTGGTAAACCTTTCCTTGAGGTCTTGGAAAACGTTTTCAGCCTGGGGGGTCCATTGAAAAGGTACCTTGGAAGAGGTGAGTGTATGCAAGGGTGCTGCAACAGAACTAAAGTTACAGATGAACTTTCTGTAAAAGCTGGCAAACCCCAGGAACTGCTGTACCTTTTTCCGGCTGTCCAGAGTTGGCCAATTGGCCACAGCACTGACCTTAGCCGGGTACATCTGTAGCTGGTTTGCTGTGACGATGTAGCCCAGGAAACTGACAGTGGCTGCATGAAACTCACATTTCTCGGTCTTTATGTACAGTTGATTCTCCAACAGCTTCTGAAGGACTTGACATGAGTCTCATTATCTGGTGAGAAAATCAGAATATCATCGAGGTACACAAACACAAAAAACATTCAAAAACTCCCACAATACATCATTCACAAATATCTGAAATACCACCAGAGCATTGCAAAGTCCAAATGACATGACCAGGTACTCATAATGTCCATTAGGAGTGTTAAAACCTGTCTTCCATTCATCTCCTTTTCTGATCCCGATGAGGTGGTAAGCATTTCAGAGATCTAGCTTGGTGAATACTGTGGCTGTTTGGAGCAGTTCAAAAGCAGATGAGATCAATGGGAGAGGGTAACAGTTCTTAACTGTTGTCATTTAGGGGGCTATAGTCAATGCATGGCCTTAGAGAACCATCCTTCTTACCCACGAAAAAGAAGCCTGCACCAGCTGGAGAGGAGGACGGAAAAATTATTCCAGCCTTCAGCGAGGAGGTGATGTACTCGTCCATGGCCGCTCTCTCCGGCCCAGAGCTGACATGGCTATGAAGGCTTGTAGATCCTGGGGGGGCTCCAAGGGAGCGAAATGATCTTTAATGGGTTCTGAGAGTGCATTCATAAAAGCGTCTATTAAAGCTGTTGTGTTCCACCCGCTATCTGCGGCTACTGTGCGGAACTCAATGGCATTCTCTCTCAAGAGGCTTCTCTGGCAGGTGAGAAGTGATCAAATATTTTGCTCATGGTATCTCAAAAAGCAGTGAGTGGCAGATGTTGGAGTCTCTGGCCATTCAGCAGTGGCCCAAGCGGCAGCTCTGCAAGTTAAATAAGACACCATGAATGCCACTTTAGCCTGGTCTGACACAAAAGCTGCTGGGTTGAGCTTGAAGTGCAGATCACACTAAACTAAGAAAGTTCTACAGTCACCTGAGTCCCCTGAAAACTTGTCCAGGGAGGCCAAACGCAGAGACAAGGGAGCCGTCTGGCTAATGGTTGGTGCAGCTACAGGATTCTCCGCAGTTGGTGTCGCTGAAGGTGCCGTCCCCAGGTGAGTGAGGACTTGGTGTAGTTGCCCCACAAGGTGGTTAATTTGACAGGTGACGAAGGCTTGGAACTCCTCCTGACGCTCGGTGAGGTCCTTCACACCATGGCACCAACACTCAGCTGTGCCTCATGCTGATGGATCTTGGTGCCCTGTGCAGAGAGGGCGGTTTGGAGTTTCTTTGAGTCCATACTTGGTCAGTTCGGTCCGTCACGACCTCAGACACAATTCTGGTGGACTCAAATGCATGACTCAGGGACTGACAAAGATGTACAAAAGGAGTATTTATTGTCCAAAAAACAATCCAACAAAAAGCGCTCTCAAGGAGGGAAAAAAGTGCAAAACAAAACCTCACAAGGAGATCAAAAACTTTACACAAACCTTAATCAAAACATGAAAAAACTCTGGAACTCTGGC